CCCTCCCAGTGCTCCCAGTGCTCCCAGTTAGCCATGTCCCTGACTGGGGGTGCTCTGTGCTCTCTCCCAGTGCTCCCAGTTTCCGTCCCAGTGCTCCCAGTGCTCCCAGTCAGCCATGTCCCTGACTGGGGGGGTCTCTGGGGGGTCTGTGCTCTCTCCCAGTGCTCCCAGTGCTCCCAGTTAGCCATGTCCCTGACTGGGGGGGTCTCTGGGGGCTCTGTGCTCTCTCCCAGTGGGGTCTGTGCTCTCTCCCAGTGCTCCCAGTGCTCCCAGTGCTCCCAGTTAGCCATGTCCCTGACTGGGGGGGTCTCTGGGGGGTCTGTGCTCTCTCCCAGTGTCCCTCCCAGTGCTCCCAGTGCTCCCAGTCAGCCATGTCCCTGACTGGGGGTGCTCTCTGCTCTCTCCCAGTGCTCCCAGTTTGTGTCCCAGTGCTCCCAGTGCTCCCAGTTAGCCATGTCCCTGACTGGGGGGGTCTCTGGGGGCTCTGTGCTCTCTCCCAGTGGGGTCTGTGCTCTCTCCCAGTGCTCCCAGTGCTCCCAGTTAGCCATGTCCCTGACTGGGGGGGTCTCTGGGGGGTCTGTGCTCTCTCCCAGTGTCCCTCCCAGTGCTCCCAGTGCTCCCAGTGCTCCCAGTCAGCCATGTCCCTGACTGGGGGGGTCTCTGGGGGGTCTGTGCTCTCTCCCAGTGGGGTCTGTGCTCTCTCCCAGTGCTCCCAGTGCTCCCAGTGAGCCATGTCCCTGACTGGGGGTGCTCTGTGCTCTCTCCCAGTGGGGTCTGTGCTCTCTCCCAGTGCTCCCAGTGCTCCCAGTGAGCCATGTCCCTGACTGGGGGTGCTCTGTGCTCTCTCCCAGTGGGGTCTGTGCTCTCTCCCAGTGCTCCCAGTGCTCCCAGTGAGCCATGTCCCTGGCTGACGAGCTGCTGGCGGACCTGGAGGAGGCGGAGGAGGAGGAGGAGGCCGAGGCCGAAGGCTCCGAGGGGGGGGAGGAGCCGCCCATCGAGGACGTGCGGGACGAGCCCCGGACCCCGGAGGGGAGCGAGTCCGTGCGCAGCATCGCCAAGCTGTGGGGCAGCAGAGCGGTCAGAAATGCCCCAAAATATCCCTAAATACCCCCAAAAATATCCCCAGAATATCCCTAAAATATCACCAAAATATCACCAAAACCACCCCCAAAATATCCCCCAAACCCCCCGAGGGCAGCGAGTCCGTGCGCAGCATCGCCAAACTCTGGGGCAGCAGAGCGGTCAGAAATGCCCCAAAATATCCCTAAATACCCCCAAAAATATCCTGAAAATATCCCCTAAATATCCCCAAAACCCACCCCGAACCCCCCGAGGGCAGCGAGTCCGTGCGCAGCATCGCCAAACTGTGGGGCAGCAGAGCGGTCAGAAATGCCCCAAAATGACCCAAAAATATCCTGAAAATATCCCCTAAATATCCTCAAAATATCCCCAAAATATCCAGAAAATATCCCCAAAATATCCTCAAAATATCCCCCAAAATATCCCCCAAACCCCCCGAGGGCAGCGAGTCCGTGCGCAGCATCGCCAAGTTATGGGGCAGCAGAGCGGTCAGAAATGCCCCAAAATATCCCTAAATACCCCCAAAAATATCCCCAGAATATCACCAAAATATCCCCAAAATATCCCCAGAATATCCCCAAAAACAACCCCCAAACCCCCCGAGGGCAGCGAGTCCGTGCGCAGCATCGCCAAGTTATGGGGCAGCAGAGCGGTCAGAGATGCCCAAAAATATCCCTAAATATCCCCAAAATATCCTTCAAAATATCCTGAAAATATCCCCAGTATATCCTCAAAATATCCCCAAAATGCCCCCAGAATATCCCCAAAATATCCCCAGAATATCCCTAAATATCCCCCAGAATATCCCCAAAATATCCCCAGAATATCCCCAAAATATCCCCAAAATGTCCTCAAAATATCCCCGGAATATCCCCAAAATATTCCCAAGATATCCTCAAAATATCCTCAAAATATCCCCAGAATATTCCCAGAATATCCCCAGAATATCTCCAAAGTATCCCTCAAAATGTCCCCAAAATATCCCTTAAATATCCCCAAAATATCTCCCAAAATATCCCCAAAATATTCCCCAAAACACCCCCCAAAAACCCCCCAAAAACTCATCCCAAAATCGCTGCAAGTGCCACTCCAAATCCACTCTAAAACCACCCCAGAACCACCCCAACCCCCTCCCCAAAAAGCAACTCAAAAACCACCCCAAAAATACCCCAAAACCCACCCAAAAACACCTCAAAACCCACCCCAAAAAAACCCCAAAACAACCCTAAAACCATCCTCAAAACCCACCCCAAAAACACCCCCAAAACAACCCTAAAACCATCCTCAAAACCCACCCCCAAATATCCCCAAAACCAGCACAAAAACATCCCAAAAATACCCCCAAACCTACCCTAAAACTAGCACAAAGGCCCCAAGGCCCTCAACCCCCCAAAGACAACCCAAGAGCCCCACCACAAGACCACCCCAAAACAACGACCTAAAACCATCCTCAAGATGCAACCTAAAAATACTTCAAGCCTACCCCAAAACCAGCACACAAAACACCCCAAAACCCAGCCTGAAAAGCCTCAAGACCACCCCAGAAACCCTAAAACATCCCAGACCCACTCTCAAAGCCCAACCCAAGATACCCTAGAAACTCACCCTAAGCCCCACCTCAAAGACACCCCAAACCCCACTCCAAGAGCACCCCAAAACCACCCTTAAACCCAACTTCAAATCCTCCAACCCCCCAAAAGTCCTCCCACCTCCCACTTCAAAGTCCTAAATTCCCCAGAACTCCTCCGAACCTCCTCCAGGACTCCCCAAATCCCACTGACCCCCTCCCCTCAATCCTCCCCTCCCTCAAGGCCAAACAACCCCCAAAAAAATCCCATTTTGGGGTTTTCCCCTCCCCAAATTTGGGGTTTTTGGCTCCCCACTCCAATTTTTGGGGCTAAATCTGCCGATTTTGGGTCTGTTTCCCCCAGTTTGTGGAGATCATGCAGAAAGATCGAGAGTACATCAACAAACAGCCCAAAGCCGCTGAAGGTGACCCCAAAAACCCCAAAACCTCCAAAAAACCCCCAAAATCAGGGTCCCCCCTCCTCCCCACCCCCACAACTGCCCACCCAAATCCCCCAAAACTGCCCCAAAAAGGGGATTTGGGGGCGCATTTGAGTCTGGGAGTAGGTTTTGGAGGTCATTGAGAGGATTTTGGGGGTCCTGGGGATTAGAGGAGTTTTGGGGGCTCTGGGTGGGATTTGAGGGAATTTGGGGAAGGCTTTGGGGTCTCGGGATGGGATTTGGGAGGTCCCTTAGGGGAGATTTTGGGGCATTTTGGGGTCTGGGGTGGGTTTTGGGGAGTCCTGAGGATTTTGGGGGTCCTGGAGGGATTAGAGGAGTTTTGGGGGTTCTGGGTGGATTTGGGGAAGATTTTGGGGTCTCAGGTGGGATTTTAGGGGTCCCTTTGGGGGAATTTTGGGGGCATTTTGAGGTCGGGGTGGGTTTGGGGAGTCGTTGAGGGGATTTTGGGGGTCCTGAGGGATTAGAGGAGTTTTGGGGGGCTCTGGAGTGGGATTTGAGGGAATTTGGGGAAGGTTTTGGGGTCTCGAGTGGGATTTGGGGGAAGAATTTTGGGGGAATTTTGAGGGGGCATTTTGGGGTCTGGGTGGGTTTTGGGTGGTCGGTGAGGGATTTTGGGGGTCCTGGGAAGGATAAGAGGAGTTTTGGGGGATTCTGGATGGGATTTGGGGAGAATTTGGGGAGAATTTGGGGGAAGGTTTTGGGGTCTCGGGTGGGATTTGGGGGGTCCCTTTGGGGGAGGAATTTTGGGGGAGTCCTGGTGAGGATTTGGGAGGGGATTTTTTGAGGGGAGGGTCCCAGGTGGGTTTGGGGGGGTCTCAGTTGGGTTTTTGGGGTTCTTTGTGAGGATTTGGGGGGATCCTGGGGGGGTTTGAGGATTTCCCAAGGGAATTTTGGGTCGATTTCCCCATTTTTGGGCAGTTTTGGGCCTGGTGGAGGCAGCTCCGAAATATCCGCTCGGGTGGGATTTGGGCGGGTCCCAGGGGGATTGTAGGGAATCCTGGGTGGGATTCAGGGGTCCCTGGGAGGGTTTAGGGGAATCCTGGGTGGGATTCAGGGGTCCCTGGCAGGATTGTAGGGAATCCTGGGTGGGATTTGGGGGGTCCCAGGGGGGATTTAGGGAATCCTGGGTGGGATTCAGGGGGTCCCAGGGGGGATTTAGGGAATCCTGGGTGGGATTCAGGGGGTCCCTGGGGGGATTTAGGGAATCCTGGATGGGGTTCAGGGGTCCCAGGGAATTTAGGGAATCCTGGATGGGGTTCAGGGGGTCCCAGGGGGGATTTAGGGAATCCTGGATGGGGTTCAGGGGGTCCCAGGTGGGAATTTAGGGAATCCTGGGTGGGATTCAGGGGGTCCCAGGGGGGATTTAGGGAATGCTGGGTGGGATTCGGGGGGGTCCTAAGGGCGGATTTAGGGAATGCTGGGTGGGATTCAGGGGGTCCCTGGGGGGATTTAGGGAATGCTGGGTTTCCCAAGGGAATTTTGGGTCGATTTCCCCGTTTTGGGCAGTTTTGGGCCCGGTGAGGCGGCCCCGAGTACCGAGTGATCGTCGACGCCAACAACCTGACGGTGGAGATCGAGAACGAGCTGAGTGAGCCCCGGCAGGGGATCCTGGGGGCCTGGGGTGTTTTTGGGGGTTCAGGGGCTGAGGTGGATTTTGGGACCCCCATTTTCCCCTCCCCTTCCCCCAGTACATCATCCACAAGTTCATCCGGGACAAATATTCCAAGAGGTTCCCGGAGCTGGAGTCGCTGGTGCCCAACGCGCTGGATTACATCCGGACGGTCAAGGTGGGCTGGGACCCCCCAAACACCCCAAAACATCTCCTGGGACCCTCAAAACTCACCTGAGACCCCCCAAAACACCCCCTGGGACCCTCAAAACTCACCTGGGACCCCCAAAACTCACCTGGGACCCTCAAAACTCACCTGGGACCCCCAAAACTCACCTGGGACCCCCCCAAACACCCCCTGGGACCCTCAAAACTCAGCTGGGACCCCCAAAACACCCCCTTGGACCCCCAAAACACCTCCTGGGACCCTCAAAACTCATCTGGGACCCCCCCAAAACACCCCCTGGCACCCTCAAAACTCACCTGGGACCCCCTAAACTCACCTGGGACACCCCCAAACACCCTGGCACCTCAAACTCACCTGGGACCCCTAAAATGCCCTGGGACCCTCAAACTTCCCTGGGACCCTCAAACTCACCTGGGACCCCTAAAACTCACCTGGGACCCCAAATACCCCTGAGACCTCAAACCATCTGGGACCCCCAAACACCTCCTGGGACCATCCAAAAACTCACCTGGGACCCCCAAAACACCCCCTGGGACCCCCCGAAACACTCCCTGGCACCCTCAAAACTCATCTGGGACCCCCCCAAAACTCACCTGGGACCCCCAAAACACCCCCTGGGACCCCCAAAACTCACCTGGGACCCCCTAAACACCCCCTGGGACCCCTGAAACACCCCCTGGGACCCCCAAAACTCACCTGGGACCCCCAAAACACCCTCAAAACTCCCCTGGGATCCCCAAATCCCACCTGGGACCCCCAAAACACCCTGAAAACTCCCCTGGGACCCTCAAAACTCACCTGGGACCCCCAAAACACCCTGAAAACTCCCCTGGGACCCCCAAAACTCACCTGGGACCCCCAAAACACCCTCAAAACTCCCCTGGGACCCCCAAATCCCACCTGGGACCACCCAAATCACCCCTGTTCCTGAGGGTAGGGCTGTCACCCACCCTTTTTTCCCTCTCTAATTTTGGGGGTTCCTCTCAGGAACTGGGGAACTCCCTGGACAAGTGCAAGAACAACGAGAACGTGCAGCAGATCCTGACCAACGCCACCATCATGGTGGTCAGCGTGACGGCCTCCACCACCCAGGGGTCAGGGGGGCCACAAATAATGGGGGGGACCTTTTCTTCCCCTCACATTTCCCTCCATTTTCCCCTCACATTTCCCTCCATTTCCCCCTCACCTTTCCCTCCATTTTTCCCTTAAAATTCCCTCCATTTCCCCCTCACCTTTCCCTCCATTTTTCCCTTAAAATTCCCTCCATTTTCCCCTCACATTTCTCTCCATTTTCCCCTCACATTTCCCTCCATTTTCCCCTCACCTTTCCCTCCATTTTCCCCTCACCTATCCCTTCATTTTCACCTCACCTTTCCCTCCATTTTTCCTTTAAAATTCCCGCCACTTTCCCCTCAAAACTCCTTCCATTTTCCCCTCACCTTTCCCTCCATTTTCTCCTCACCTTTCCCGCCATTTTCCCCTCACGTTTCCCTCCATTTTTCCCTTAAAATTCCCGCCACTTTCCCCTCAAAATTCCTTCCATTTTCCCCTCACATTTCTCTCCATTTTCCCCTCACATTTCCCTCCATTTTCCCCTCACCTTTCCCTCCATTTTCCCTTCACCTTTCCCTCCATTTTCCCCTCACGTTTCCCTCCATTTTCACCTCATGTTTTTCTTCATTTTCCCCTCACGTTTCCCTCAATTTTTCCCTTAAAATTCCCGCCACTTTCCCCTCAAAATTCCCTCCATTTTCCTCTCATGTTTCCCTCCATTTTCCCCTCACGTTTCCCTCCATTTTCTCCTCAAAATTCCTTACGTTTTCCCCTCAAAATTCCTTCCATTTTCCCCTCATGTTTCCCTCCCTTTTCCCCTCACCTTTCTCTCCCTTTTCCCCTCGCATTTCCCTCCATTTCCCCCTCACATTTCCCACCATTTCCCTCTCATGTTTCCCTTCATTTTCCCCCTCGCATTTCCCACCATTTTGTCCCCTCATGTTCCCCCCCATTTTCCCCTCAAAATTCCCTCCATTTTCTCCTCACATGTCCTCCGTTTTCTCCTCACGTTTCTCTCCATTTTCCCCTCAAAATTCTTTCCATTTTCCCCTCACATTTCCCGCCCTTTTCCCCTCACATTTCCCACCACTTTCTCCTCACATTTCCCTCCCTTTCCTCCTCACCTTTCCCACCCTTTTCCCCTCACATTTCCCTCCCTTTTCCCCTCACATTTCCCACCCTTTTCCCCTCACCTTTCCCTCCCTTTTCCCCTCACCTTTCCCTCCCTTTCCCCCTCACGTTTCCCTCCCTTTCCCCCTCACATTTCCCTCCCTTTTCCCCTCACCTTTCCCTCCCTTTTCCCCTCACCTTTCCCACCCTTTTCCCCTCACATTTCCTAATCCCATCCGTGTCTCCTCACCGATGGCAGGCAGCAGCTGTCGGAGGAGGAGCTGAGCCGGATCGAGGACGCCTGTGACATGGCCCTGGCCCTGAGCGGGGCCAAGCTCCGGATCTACGAGTACGTCGAGTCCCGGATGTCCTTCATCGCCCCCAACCTCTCCCTCATCCTCGGGGCCTCCACGGCCGCCAAGATCATGGGTGAGACCCCCCAGAACCCACCCCCCAAAACTACCCCCCAAAATCTCCCCCTTGAGAACCCTAAATCGCCCCCAAATTACCCCAAAACCCTCTCCTTTTCCTCTCCCTGAACTCCCACTACCCCCAGTCTTCTTGTGTTTTTTTTGGGTTGGCTCCTTCCTTTTCCCCCTGGATTTTGGGGTTCCCCCCCCAACCCCTGTGTATTTTGGGGGTCCCCCCCTCATTCCAGGGGTCACAGGGGGGTCTCCCCCACATTTTGGAGTCTTTCCTTTCTCTCCAAACTCCCGCTTCCCTCACCCTCTGTATTTTTGGGATCCCCCCAGATTTCGGGGTCCCCCCCAACCCCTCTGTATTTTGGGGGTCCCCCCCTCATTGCAGGGGTCGCAGGGGGTCTCACCCCGCTGTCCAAGCTCCCAGCCTGTAACATCCTCCTGCTGGGGGCCCAACGCCGGACCCTGTCGGGCTTCTCGTCCACGTCGGTGCTGCCCCACACGGGCTTCATCTACCACAGCGACATCGTGCAGTCCCTGCCCCCGGTGGGTTATCCCCGTCCCCCACCCAGGTACCCCTTCCTGGGGACCCCCAGATTTGGGGGAACCCCCCCCCGTGACCCCCCGAAATCCCCCCGCAGGATTTGAGGAGGAAGGCGGCCAGGCTGGTGGCGGCCAAGTGCACCCTGGCGGCGCGGGTGGACTCGTTCCACGAGAGCCAGGACGGAAAGGTGGGACCTAAAACACTCCTGGGGGCCCCAAAATATCCCCCAATATCCCCCAAAATCCAAACCCATAGTGGGAACCACCAAAAACCCCCGTGGGATCCCCAAAACCCCACCCTAGTGCAGCGGGTGGACTCGTTCCACGAGAGCCAGGACGGAAAGGTGGGACCTAAAACACTCCTGGGGAGCCCCAAAATTCATCTGGGGGGACCCCAAAATATCCCCCAGCCCAAACACCTCTGTGGGACCCCCTAAACCCCTGTGGGATCCCCTAAAACCCCCACCCTAGTGCGGCGGGTGGACTCGTTCCACAAGAGCCAGGACGGAAAGGTGGGACCTAAAACACTCCTGGGGGACCTCAAAATTCATCTGGGGGGACCCCAAAATATCCCCCAACCCAAACACTTCCCTGGGACCCCCTAAAACCCCCGTGGGATCCCCAAACCCCCACCCTAGTGCGGTGGGTGGACTTGTTCCGTGAGAGCCAGGACGGAAAGGTGGGACCTAAAACGCACCTGGGAACCCCAAAATATCCCCCAAAATCCCCCAAAATCCAAAACCATATCTGAGACCCCCTAAAACCCCCGTGGGATCCCCCAAAACCCCACCCTAGTGCCATGGGTGGACTCGTTCCATGAGAGCCAGGACGGAAAGGTGGGACCTAAAACACTCCTGGGGGACCCCAAAATATCCCCCAAAATCCAAACCCATAGCGGGAACCCCCAAAACTCCCGTGGGATCCCCTAAAACCCCCATGGGATCCCCAAAACCCCACCCTAGTGCGGCGGGTGGACTTGTTCCATGAGAGCCAAGACGGAAAGGTGGGACCTAAACAACTCCTGGGGAGCCCCAAAATTCATCTGGGGGGACCCCAAAATATCCCCCAACCCAAACACTTCCCTGGGACCCCCCAAAACCCCCGTGGGATCCCCCAAACCCCCGCCCTAGTGCGGTGGGTGGACTCGTTCCACGAGAGCCAGGACGGAAAGGTGGGACCTGGGGGACCCCAAAATATCCCCCAATATCCCCCAAAATCCAAACCCATATCTGAGACCCCCTAAAAGCCCCGTGGGATCCCCTAAAACCCGTGGATCCCTAAACCCCGTGGGATCCCCCAAACCCCCACCCTAGTGCGGCGGGTGGACTCGTTGACGAGAGCCAGGACGGAAAGGTGGGACCTGGGGGACCCCAAAACTCACCTGGGGGGACCCCAAAATATCCCCCAAATCCACAACCATTTCTGGGACCCCCAAACCCCCTGGGACCCCCAAACACCCCTTGGACCCCCAAATCCCCCTAGGACCCCCACATCCCCTCAGGGACCCCCCAAACCCCCTGGGACCCCCAAACACCCTTGGACTCCCCAGACCCCTCAGGGACCCCCAAACCCCCTGGGACCCCCAAACACCCCTTGGACCCCCATATCCCCCTGGGACCCCCAGACCCCCTCAGGGACCCCCAAGACCCCTCAGGGACCCCCAGACCCCCTGGGACCCCCAGACCCCCTCAGGGACCCCATTTCCCCCAGGTGGGGTAGGAGCTGAAGGAGGAGATCGGCGCCAAGTTCCATGAGTGGCAGGAGCCCCCTGGGACCCCAGGAATCCCCTGGGACCCCCAAAGCCCCTCAGGGACCCCCTAAATCCCCTGGGACCCCCAAACCCCCTCAAGGACCCCCAAACCCCCTGGGACCCCCAAATCCCCTGGGACCCCCAAACCCCTGGGACGCCCCAAACCCCCTTTGTGCCCCCAGGTGGGGTACGAGGCTGAAGGAGGAGATCGGCGCAAGTTCGACAAGTGGCAGGAGCCCCCTGGGACCCCCAAACCCCCTCAGGGACCCCCAAATCCCCCTGGGACCCCCAAACCCCCTGGGACCCCCAAACCCCTCAGGGACCCCCAAATCTCCCAAAGACCCCCAAGCCCCCTTTGTGTCCCCCAGGTGGGGTGCGAGGCTGAAGGAGGAGATCGAGCGCAAGTTCGACAAGTGGCAGGAGCCCCCTGGGACCCCCAAATCCCCCTGGGACCCCCAAACCTCCCTGGGACCCCCAAACTCCCTCAGGGACCCCCAAACCCCTCAGGGACCCCCAAACCCCTCAGGGACCCCCATTTCCCCTCCCCCAGGTGGGGTACGAGGCTGAAGGAGGAGATCGAGCGCAAAGTTCGACAAGTGGCAGGAGCCCCCTGGGACCCCCAAACCCCCTCAGGGACCCCCCAAACCCCTCTGGGACCCCCAAATCTGCCCAAAGACCCCCAAACCTCCCCTTTGTGCCCTCCAGGTGGGAGTACGAGGCTGAAGGAGGAGATCGAGCGCAAGTTCGACAAGTGGCAGGAGCCCCCTGGGACCCCCCAGAGCCCCCTGGGACCCCCAAACCCCCTGGGACCCCCAAATCCCCTCAGGGACCCCCAAACCCCCTTTGTGCCCCCAGGTGGGAGTACGAGCTGAAGGAGGAGATCGAGCGCAAGTTCGACAAGTGGCAGGAGCCCCCTGGGACCCCCAAACCCCCTGGGACCCCCAAACTCCCCCTGGGACCCCCAAAGCCCCCTTTGTGCCCCCCCAGGTGGGGTACGAGCTGAAGGAGGAGATCGAGCGCAAGTTCGACAAGTGGCAGGAGCCCCTGGGACCCCCAGGACCCCAAATCCCCCTGGGACCCCCAAACGCCCTCAGGGACCCCCAAACCCCCTTTGTGCCCCCAGGTGGGGTACGAGCTGAAGGAGGAGATCGAGCGCAAGTTCGACAAGTGGCAGGAGCCCCCCCCGGTGAAGCAGGTGAAGCCCCTCCCGGCCCCCCTGGACGGGCAGAGGAAGAAGAGGGGGGGCCGGAGGTGAGTTAATTAGCGCTAATTAGCACCCTAATTAACCCCAGTTATTCCTCATTAACCAATCGTTTGTTGGTGGGTGGGCAGAGGGGGAATGGGGGGGGGGGAAGAGTGTGGGGAGACCCCCTCCATCTGATCCACCCTAATTAACCACTAATTAGCTCCTAATTAATGCTCTAATTAACCCGTAATTCAATCTCAAAATAAATGTTTGTCAACCTACTAATTAACTCCTAGTTAAGTCTTCCAATTAATTCCTTTACTGGTTCTCTAATTAACCCTTAACAAAGCTACAATGAACTTCTAATTAATGGCCAATTAGTTCCTTAGTTAACTGTAATTAACTACTGATAACCTGTAAGTAATCACTAGCTAAGGCTTGATTAATTCCCTAATTATCAGTAATTAACTCCCTATTTGACTGCTAATTAACCCCTGTCTGACCTCTAATCACCACCCCCCAATTGAGGCCTAATTAACACTAAATTTTATCTAAAACTCTCTGGTTAACCCTAATTAATACCTAATTTATACCTAATTAGTGGCCCAGTGAAGCTCTTAATTAACTGCCCTGTTAATTCTCCTATTAATCACTTAATTGATCTCAAATTACCACCTAATTACCCCTAATTAACCCTTAATTACCCCCCAGGTACCGGAAGATGAAGGAGCGTTTGGGGCTGACGGAGATCCGGAAGCAGGCCAACAGGATGAGCTTTGGGGAGGTAATTAACACTAATTAACACTAATTAATGCTAATTAGCCTGGAGGAGGTGGGTAATTAACCCCTGTTAACCAGAAGGAGGTGGGTAATTAACCCCAAATAACCAGGGAGGTGGGTAATGAACCCCATTAACCAGGAGGAGGTGGGTAATTAACCCCAATTAACCAGGAGGAGGTGGGTAATTAACACAAATTAACCAGGAGAAGGTGGGTAATTAACACAAATTAACCAGGAGAAGGTGGGTAATTAACCCCAATTAACCAGGAGGAGGTGGGTAATTAACCCCAATTAACCAGGAGGAGGTGGGTAATTAACCCCCATTAACCAGGAGGAGGTGGGTAATTAACCCCATTAACCAGGAGGAGGTGGGTAATGAACCCCATTAACCAGGAGGAGGTGGGTAATGAACCCCAATTAACCAGGAGAAGGTGGGTAATTAACCCCAATTAACCAGGAGGAGGTGGGTAATTAACCCTAATTAACAGGAGGAGATGGTGGGTAATTAACCCCCATTAATCAAGAGAAAGTGGGTAATTAACCCAAATTAACCAGAAGAAAGGTGGGTAATTAACCCCAAATAACCAGGATGAGGTGGGTAATTAACCTAAATTAATCAGGAGGAGGTCGGTAATTAACCCCAATTAACCAAGAGGAAGTGGATAATTAACCTCAATTACCACCACAGTTAATTAACAGGAAAGCCCCTTAATGGGGGATCCCCCCAATTAACGCTCATGGTTAATTAATCTTTTTCTAAAAAGGGAACCCCTTTTATTCCCCTTTAATCCCCCCCAAACCCCCCTTTTATCCCCCTTTAACCCCATTTTTCCCCAGTTTAACCCCATTTTCTCCCAGTTTAACCCCATTTTCTCCCAGTTTCCCCCCATTTTCTGTCAGTTAACCCCATTTTCTCCCAGTTTACCCCCATTTTCTCCCAGTTTAACCCCATTTTCTCTCAGTTTACCCCCCTTTTATCCCATTTTAACCCCATTTTCTCCCAGTTTACCCCCATTTTCTCTCAGTTTAACCCCCTTTTCTCCCAGTTTAACCCCATTTTCTCCCAGTTTAACCCCATTTTCTCCCAGTTTAACCCCATTTTCTCCCAGTTTAACCCCATTTTCTCCCAGTTTCCCCCCATTTTCTCCCCTTTTACCCCCATTTCCTCTCAATTTACCCCCATTTTCTCCCTTTTTTCTCCCCCAGATCGAGGAGGACGCCTACCAGGAGGACCTGGGCTTCAGCCTGGGCCACCTGGGACCCCCAAAACCCCTTTTATCCCCTTTTAACCCCATTTTCTCTCATTTTAACCCCATTTTCTCTCAGTTTAACCCCATTTTCTCTCAGTTTAACCCCATTTTCTCTCAGTTTACCCCCATTTTCTCCCCCTTTAACCCCATTTTCTCCCCCTTTAACCCCATTTTCTCTCAGTTTAACCCCATTTCCTCCCAGTTTAACCCCATTTTCTCCCCCAGATCGAGGAGGACGCCTACCAGGAGGATCTGGGCTTCAGTCTGGGCCACCTGGGACCCCCAAAACCCCCTTTTATCCCCATTTTTTCTCAATTTACCCCCATTTTACCCCCATTTTCTCCCCCAGATCGAGGAGGACGCCTACCAGGAGGATCTGGGCTTCAGCCTGGGCCACCTGGGACCCCCAAAACCCCCTTTTATCCCCATTTTCTCTCAGTTTAACCCCATTTTCTCCCTTTAACCCCATTTTTTTCTCATTTAACCCCATTTTCTCTCATTTTACCCCCATTTTCTCCCCCAGATCGAGGAGGACGCCTACCAGGAGGACCTGGGCTTCAGTCTGGGCCACCTGGGACCCCCAAAACCCCCTTTTATCCCCATTTTATCCCACTTTACCCCATTTTCTCTCAGTTTAACCCCATTTTCTCCCCCTTTAACCCCATTTTCTTTTAATTTACCCCCATTTTCTCTCAATTTAACCCCTTTTTTCTCCCCCAGATCGAGGAGGACGCCTACCAGGAGGACCTGGGCTTCAGCCTGGGCCACCTGGGACCCCCAAAACCCCCTTTTATCCCCATTTTCTCTCATTTTAACCCCTTTTTTGCCCCCAGATCGAGGAGGACGCCTACCAGGAGGATCTGGGTTTCAGCCTGGGCCACCTGGGACCCCCAAAACCCCCTTTTATCCCCATTTTTTCTCAATTTATCCCCATTTTACCCCCATTTTCTCCCCCAGATCGAGGAGGACGCCTACCAGGAGGATCTGGGCTTCAGCCTGGGCCACCTGGGACCCCCAAAACCCCCTTTTATCCCCTTTTATCCCCATTTTCTCCCAGTTTACCCCCATTTTCTCCCAGTTTAACCCCATTTTCTCCCAGTTTAACCCCATTTTTTTCCCATTTAACCCCATTTTCTCTCATTTAACCCCATTTTCTCCCCCAGATCGAGGAGGACGCCTACCAGGAGGATCTGGGTTTCAGCCTGGGCCACCTTGGCAAGGCCGGCAGTGGCCGGGTGAGACAAACCCAGGTCAACGAGGCCACCAAGGCCCGGATCAGCAAGACCCTGCAGGTACCTGCGGCCCCCCCAGCCCCCTGCTGCCCCCCCCGGGGGGTTAATGAGCCGTAATTAGCGTTAATTAACCCCCCCTTGGCGCAGAGGACCCTGCAGAAGCAGAGCGTGGTCTACGGGGGCAAATCCACCATCCGGGACCGCTCGTCCGGCACCGCCTCCAGCGTCGCCTTCACCCCCCTGCAGGTGGGGAGGGGGCAAAGGGGAGCTTGGGGGTCCATGGGGGTTTTGGGGAGTCCTGGGGGAGAAAGGGGGTTTGAGGGTCCTGGGGGATGAAGAGGGGGTTTGGGAGGATCCTGGGGGTTTGGAGGAGAGGAAAGGGTGTTTGGGGGTTCTGGGGCATCTGGGAGGTAAAAGGGAGTTTGGGGGAGAAAGGTGGAGGAAAGGGGGTTTGGGGGGTCCTGGGGGTTTGGGGAGCCCATGGGGAGGTTTGGGGGTCCTGGGTGGGAGAAAAGGGGTTGGGGGTCCTGGGGGAGGAAAGGGGGTTGGGGGAGAAAAGGGGGTTTAGAGGGTCCGTGGGGAGGTTTGGGGCGTCCTGGGGGAGAAAGGGGTTTGGGGGTCCTGAGGGGAGAAAAGGGGGTTTGGGGGAGAAAAGGGGATTTGGGGGTCCTGGGGGAGAGAAAAGGGGTTTGTGGGTTCTGGGAGGTTTGGGGGTCCCTAGGGAGGTTTGGGGGTCCTGGGGGAGAAAAGGGGGTTTGGGGGTCCCTGGGGAGGTTTGGGGGTCCTGGGGGATCTGAGGGGTTTGGGGGATCCTGAGGGTTTGGGGGTCCTAAGGGGTTTGGAGGTCCCTGGGGGAGAGAAAGGGGTTTGGGGGTCCTGGGGGTTTAGGGGGTCCATGGGGAGGTTTCGGGGGTCCTGGGTGGGAGAAAAGGGGTTTGGGGGTTCTGGGGATCTGAGGGGTTTGGGGGTCCTGGGGTTTAGGGGAGGAAAGGGGGTTTGGGGGTCCTGGGGGTTTGGGGGAAAAGGGGGAGAAGAGGGGGTTTGGGGGTCCTGGGGGAGAAATGGGGTTTGAAGGAGGAGAAAAGGGGAGGAAAGGGAGTTTGGGGAGAGAAAGGGGAGGAAAGGAGTTTGGGGGTCCTGGGGGTTAGCGTCTGGGGGTGAAGAGGGGGTTTGGGGGTGGAAAGGGGGTTTGGGGGTCCTAGGGGAGAAAAGGGGGTTTGGGGGTCCTGGGAGGTTTGGGGGCTCCTGGGGAGGACTGGGGGTCCTGGGGGAGAAAAGGGGGTTTGGGGGTCCTGGGGGTTTGGGGGAAAAGGGGAGAAGAGGGGTTTTGGGGGTCCCTAGGGAGGTTTAGGGGTCCTGGGGAGAGAAAGGGGGTTTGGGGGTCCTGGGGATCTGAGGGGTTTGGGGGTCCTGGGGGTTTAGGGGAGGAAAGGGGGTTTGGGGGTCCTGGGGGATCTGAGGGGTTTGGGGGTCCTGGAGGGTTTAGGGAGAAAAGGGGACCTGAGGGGTCCCTGGGAGGTTTGGGGGTCCTGGGGTTTGGGGGGAAAGGTGGAGGAGAAGGGGTTTGGGGGTCCTGGGGGAGAAAAGGGGGTTTGGGGGATCCTGGGGGATCTAGGGGGAGAAAGGGGGTTTGGGGTGTCCTGGGGGAGAAAGGGGGTTTGGGGGTCCTGGGGCGAAGAGGGGTTTGGGGGCAGAAAAGGTGGAGTAAAAGGGGGTTTGGGGGTCCTGGGGATTTGGGGGATCTTGGGGAGAGAAAAGGGGTTTGGGGGTCCTGGGGGTTTGAGGGGTCTTGGGAGAGAAAAGGGGGTTTGGGGGTCCCTGGGAGGTTTGGGGGATCCTAGGGGAGAGAAAGGGGGTTTGGGGGTCCTGGGGAGAGAAGAGGGGGTTTGGGGGATCTGAGGGGTTTGGGGGAGCTCATGGGGGTTTGGGGTGTCCTGGGGGGTTTGGGGAGCCCATGGGGGGCTTTCTGGGGTCCTGGGGGGTCTGAGGGGTTTGGGGGTCCAAGAGGGGTTGGGGGAGGGGAAGGGAGTTTGGGGGATCCTGGGGGGTCTGAGGGGGTTTGGGGAGCCCATGGGGGTTGGGGTGTCCTGGGTGGGTTTGGGGGGTCCTGGGTGGGTTTGGGGGAGCCCATGGGGGTTTGGGGTGTCCTGGGGGGTTTGGGGTGTCCTGGGGGTTTGGGGGCTCAGGGGGATTTGGGGGTCCCTCCAGGTGGGATTTTTTGAGGGGTGATCCCTGACCCCCTGACCCCTGGGACCCCCTGAGACCCCCTGAGACCCCTGAGACCCCTGAGACCCCCTGTGCCCCCAACCCAGGGCCTGAGATCGTGAACCCGCAGGCGTCGAGAAGAAAGTGGCCGAGGCCAACCAGAAATATTTCTCCAGCATGGCCGGAGTTCCTCAAGGTCAAGGGCGACAAAGCAGGGTCCCCACCCCCTGAGACCCCCGACCCCCCTGGGACCCCCAAAATCCTGGGGACCCCAAAAGTCCTGGGGACCCCCAATGTCACCTCTGCTCTTTATACCTTGTTTTTGGGAGCATCTTGGGGAGTTTTTGGGGGTCCTCAAGTCCAGGGGGACAAAGCAGGGTCCCCACCCCCTGAGACCCCCGACCCCCCTGGGACCCCCAAAATTTTGGGGGACCCCAAAAGTCCTGGGGACCCCCAAAAGTCCTGGGGACCCCCGATGTCACCTCTGGTATTTATATATTGAGTTTATGGAGGCGTCTTGGGGAGTTTTTGGGGGTCCTCAAGTTCCAAGGGGGACAAAAGCGGGGTCCCCACCCCCTGAGACCCCCGGCCCCCTGGGACCCCCAAAATCGTGAGGGACCCCAAAAGTCCTGGGGACCCCCAAAGTCCTGGGGACCCCCGATGTCACCTCTGGTATTTATACCTTGATTTTGGGGAGCGTCTTGGGGAGTTTTGGGGGTCCTCAAGGTCCAGGGGGACAAAGCGGGTCCCCACCCCCTGAGACCCCCGACCCCCTGGGACCCCCAAAGTCCTGGGGACCCCAAAAGTCCTGGGGACCCCCGATGTCACCTCCTTGGTATTTATATATTGAGTTTCTTTATGGAGCGTCTTGGGGGAGTTTTGGGGGTCCTGACGGTCCAGGGGGACAAAGCGGGTCCCCACTCCCTGAGACCCCTGACCCCCTGGGACCCCCAAAATTTTGGGGACCCCAAAAGTCCTGGGAGACCCCCAAAGTCCAGGGACCCCTAAAGTCACCTCTGCTCTTTATACCTTGTTTTTGGGGAACATCTTGGGGAGTTTTTGGGGTCCTGAAGGTCCAGGGGGACAAAGCGGGTCCCCACCCCCTGAGATCCCCAGACCCCCCAGGACCCCCAAAATCCTGGGGACCCCCAAAGTCCTGGGGACCCCAAAAGTCCTGGGGCCCCCAAACTCCTGGGACCCCCGATGTCACCTCTGGTATTTATATATTGAGTTTCTTAGGAGCGTCTTGGGGAGTTTCTGGGGTCCTCAAGGTCCAAGGGGGACAAAGCGGGTCCCCACCCCCTGAGACCTCCGACCCCCTGGGACCCCCAAAGTCCTGGAGGACCCCCAAAAGTCCTGGGGACCCCCAAAGTCCCTGTTGTTGTTTATACATTGATTTTGGGTATCGAGTGTCTGTCTGGAGTTTTGGGGGTCCTGAAGGTCCAGGGGACAAAAGTGGAGTCCCCACTCCCCTGAGACCCCCTGACCTCCCTGGGACCCCCAAAATCCTGGCGGACCCCAAAGTCCTGGGGACCCCAAAGTCCTGGGGACCCCCAAGTCCTGGGACCCCTGATGTCACCTCTATCTTTATACGTTGTTTTTGGGGAGCATCTTGGGGAGTTTTTGGGGGTCCTCAAGGCCCAGGGGACAAAAGCGGGGTCCCCACTCCCTGAGACCCCCGACCTCCCTGGGACCCCAAAATCCTGGGGACCCCAAAAGTCCTGGGGACCCTCGATGTCACCTCTGGTATTTATATATTGAGTTTCTTTATGGAGCATCTTGGGGGAGTTTTTGGGGGTCCTCAAGGTCCAGGGGGACAAGTGGGGTCCCCACTCCCCTGAGACCCCCTGGGGCCCCAAAATCCTGGGGACCCCAAAAGTCCTGCACCCCCAGTGTCAGTTGTTGTTGTTTATACATTGATTTTGGATATCGAGTGTCTGTCTGGAGTTTTGGGGGTCCTGAAGGTCCAGGGGACAAAAGCGGGGTCCCCACCCCCTGAGACTCCCGACCCTCTGGGACCCCCAAAGTCCTGGGGACCCCTAAAGTCTTGGGGACTCCCAAAATCCCCCTAATGTCACAACCCCTCCCTTCTCCTTCGTCTGTGGGGATTTTGGGGGCCTGGGGTTTTGGGGTACTGGAAGAATTATTGAGGGACTTTGGGGGATTTTAGGGGGTCCTGGATGGCTTTTTTGGGGGGTCCTGGATGTTGGGAGGACTTTTTAGGGAGCTCTGGGGAGGATTTTGGGTTATTTTGTCAGGGATTTTGGGGTTTTTTGTTGGGATTTTGGGGGTTTGGGGTCCCATTCCCACCCCCCCGGCATCGCGCTGGCCACGCCCCCCGCTGAATCAGCCAATGGGAGAGGCGCTCAGCGCCTGACCCCGCCCCTCGCTCTGCGGTTCCACCAATGAGAAACCACGTCCGCTTCTTCCGCCCTGCCGTGAGTGACAGCCCCTCCGACCAATAGGAGCTCCCTTCGTGTGCACAAAACCCGCCCTGAGGGCGTGGCCTCTTCACAACCACGCCTCTTTGCCGTTATAAACACAGCTCGGCGGCTCCTCCAATAGGAGCGCGCCGTTCCGTTGATTGACAGGCGCTTTGATCCCGCCCCGCTCCGCGCTCACCAATCAGCGGGCGGTTTTCCCTGAGTGACGCGCGGCGGGGCCAATGGGAGCGCGGCGCGTGCGGGCGGGGCGGGGCGTTGGCCTGAGGGAGCCGCCGCCATCTTGGCCGGGTCGGCGCCGAGAGCGGGGGGGGAGGAGGAGGAGGAGGCGCCCCCCGCCTGTCGCGGCCTCTGTCGCGACATCGCAGCGCGATCGGCGCGATCGCAGCCCCCCAAAGGGCCGCCTCGGGACCCCCCGGTGAGTTCCCGGTGGGGGGGGAAGGGAGGGGAGAAAATGGGGGGGAAAGCGCCGGGCCTGGATGGGGCCTGAGGGGAAGGAGGGAGGGAGTGAGGGGAGGCCTGAGGGGGGAGGGGGTTTGTGAGGATTTAGGGGGGTCTGAGGGGGGTCTGTGAGGGTTTAGGGGGATCTGTGAGGGTTTAGGGGTCTGTGAGGGTTTAGGGGGTTTGTGAGGGTTTAGGGGGTTTGTGAGGATTTAGGGGGTTTGTGAGGGTTTAGGGGTTGTGAAGGTTTAGGGGTCTGTGAGGGTTTAGGGGTTGTGAGGATTATGGGGGACTGAGGGAGGGGGAGAGGGGATGGAGGGGAGACCTGAGGGAGGTTTGTGAGGGTTTATGAGGGTTTAGAGGGGTCTGTGAGGGTTTAGGGGGGTCTGTGAGGGTTTAGGGGGTCTGTGAGGGTTTAGGGGGGTTTGTGAGGGTTTAGGGGGGTTTGAGGGGGATGGAGGAGCCTAAAAAGGGGCCTAAAGGGGGTCTGTAGGGGCCTCTGGGAGGGTTAGAGGGGCCTGTAGGGGTTTAGAGGGGCCTGTTGGGGTTTATTGGGATTTATGGGGGTTGTTTTGGGGTCTGGGTGGGGATAGAGGTGAATGTGGGGCTTTTTTTCAGGTCTGGAGGGGTCTGGAGGGCTTTGTGGCCATCTGTAGGGGTCTGGGGGGCTCTAGAGTGGTTTTAGGGGCTCTAAAAGGGGTTTTTAGGGGTTCTAGAGGGGTTAGGGGGGCTCTAAAGGGGTTTTAGGGGGTTCCATGAGGGTCTGGAGAGGCTTATAGGGGCATGGGGGTTTTATGGGGTTCTAGGGGTTTCTCTGGAGGCTCTGAAGGGGTCTGGGGGCTCTCTGGGGGTCTGGGGGGCTCTGTGGGGTCTGAGGGGCTATGTGGGGGTCTGGGGTCTCTCTGGGGGTCTGTGAGGCTGCCTGGGGGGGCTCTGAAGGGGTCTGGGGGTCTCCTGGGGATCTGGGGGTCTGGGGGGTCTCTATGGGATTCTGGGGGGCTCTAGGGGGTCTGAGGGCTCTCTGGGGGTTTGGGGATCTCTAGAGGGGTCTGGGAAGCTCTCTGGGGGTCTGGGGGCTCTAGAGGGTCTGGGGGCTCTAGAGGGTCTGGGGGGCTCTATAGGGGTCTGGGGGCTCTATGGGGGTCTGGGGGCTCTATGGGGAGCTCTAGAGGGGTCTGGGGGCTCTCTGGGGGCTCTAGAGGGATCTGGGGGGTCTCTCTGGGGGTCTGGGGGCTCTCTGGGGGTCTGGGGAGTTTGGGGAGGGTTTGGGGGCTCAGGGGAGGTCTGGGGGTCTCTCTGGGGGTCTCTCTGGGGGTCTGGGTGGTTTGGGAGGGTTTAGGGGGCTCTCTGGGGGGTCTGTGAGGGGCTCTCTGGGGGTCTCAGGGGGTTCTGGGGGGCTGGGGGCTCAGGGAGGTCTGGGGGGTCTCTGGGGGTCTGGGGGTCTCTCTGAGGGTCTGGGGGGCTCTCTGGGGGGGTTTGGGGAGGGTTTGGGGGCTCATGGGGAGGTCTGGGGGTCTCTGGGGGTCTGGGGGCTCTCTGAGGTCTGGGGGTCTCTCTGGGGGTTTGGGAGGGGTCTTGGGGGCTCAGGGAGGTCTGGGGGTCTCTGGGGGTCTGGGGGCTCTCTGAGGGTCTGGGGCTCTAGGGGTCTGGGGGTCTGGGGGGGTCTGGGGGGCTCTAGGGGGGGTCCTCTGGGGGGCTCTAGGGGGTCTGGGGGGCTCTCTGGGGGTCTGGGGAGTCTCTGAGGGGGTCTAGGGGGTCTCTATGGGGGTCTGGGAGGCTCTATGAGGGGTCTAGGGGGCTCTAGAGGGTCTGGGGGGCTCTAAGGGGTTCTGGGCGGGGCTCTCTAGGGGGTCTAGGGGCTCTATGGGGGTCTGGGGGCTCTCTGGGGGTCTGGGGGGCTCTAGAGGGGTCTGGGGGGGCTCTAGAGGGGTCTGGGGGGCTCTCTGGGGGTCTGGGGGGCTCTCTGGGGGTCTGGGGGGTCTCTGGGGAGGGTCTTGGGGGGCTCTCTGGGGGTCTGGGGGCTCTCTGGGGATCTGGGGGTCTGTGTGGGGGGTCTCTCTGGGGGTCTGGAGGTCTCTCTGGGGGTCTGGGGGTCTCTCTGAGGGGTCTCTCTGGGGGTCTGGGGTCTCTCTGGGGATCTGTGGAGGCTCTTAGGGGGTTTGGGGGGGTCTCAGGGAGGTCTGGGGGTCTCTCTGGGGGTCTGGGGGTCTCTCTGGGGGTCTCTCTGGGGGTCTGAGGGGGGTTTGGGGAGGGTTTGGGGGGCTCTCTGGGGGTCTGGGGGTTTGGGGGTCTCTCTGGGGGTCTCTCTGGGGGTCTGGGGTCTCTCTGGGGGTCTCTCTGGGGGTCTGAGGGGTTTGGGGAGGGGTTTGGGGGTCTCTCTGGGGGTCTCTCTGGGAGTTTGGGGGTCTCTCTGGGGGCTCTCTGGGGGTCTGGGGGTTTGGGGGGCTCAGGGAGGTGTGGGGGTGTTTTGGGGGTGTTTTTGGGGGTGTTTTGGGGTGCCTGGCCCCCCTCCCCCAGGCGCCCCCCGAGGGGATGCCGAGAGCCCCCCAGCATGGCTGACAAGAGGAAGCTGCAGGGTGAGCTCTGATTGGCTGGGGCACGGTGGGTGTGGCCACAGGGGCCGCTCTGATTGGCTGCGGCACTTTGGGTGTGGCTGGGGCTCTCTCTGATTGGCTGTCAGATTTTGGGTGTGGTCATGAGTGTTTCTGATTGGCTGGGAAGGACATTTTGGGCGTGGTTGAAGCTGTCTCTGATTGGCTGTCAGATTTTTGCGTGTGACCAAGAACAGCTCTGATTGGCTGCCGGGTTTTGGGTGTGGCCCAGGCTGTCTGTGATTGGCTGTCAGATTTTGGGTGTGGGTGGCACTGTCTCTGATTGGCTGTCGGGTTTTGGGTGTGGCCCAGGCTGTCTGTGATTGGCTGTCAGATTTTTGGGTGTGACCAAGGACAATTCTGATTGGCTGTCACATTTTTGGGTGTGACCAAGAAGAACTTTGATTGGCTGTCGTGTTTTGGGTGTGGCCCGGGCTGTCTCTGATTGGCTGTCAGATTTTGGGTGTGACCAAGAAGAGCTCTGATTGGCTGTCAGATTTTGGGTGTGGCTGGAGCTGTCTCTGATTGGTGTTGGATTTTGGGTGTGACCAAGGACAGCTCTGATTGGCTGTCTCATTTTGGGTGTGCCTGGAGCTGTCTCTGATTGGCTGTCAGATTTCTGTTGTGACTGGAGCTGTCTCTGATTGGCTGTCACATTTTGGGTGTGACCAAGGACAATTCTGATTGGCTGTCACATTTTTGGGTGTGACCAAGACGAACTCTGATTGGCTGTCGGGTTTTGGGTGTGGCTGGAGCTGTCTCTGATTGACTGTCAGATTTTGGGTGTGGCCACGGGCAGCTCTGATTGGCTGTCAGATTTTGGGTGTGACTGGAGCTGTCTCTGATTGGCTGTCACATTTTGGGTGGGGTCACGGGCGGCTCTGATTGGTTGTTGAGATTTGGGTGTGGCCCCTCCCCCCAGGTGAGATCGACAGGTGCCTCAAGAAGGTGTCGGAGGGGGTGGAGCAGTTCGAGGACATCTGGCAGAAGGTGAGGGGGGGACACCCCCAAAATTGCCCTGGGAACCCCCAAAATCCTCCTGGGAACCCCAAAATTGCCCTGGGACCCCCAAAATCCTCCTGGAAACCCCAAAATCCTTCTGGGACCCCTAAAATTGCCCTGGGAACCCCCAAAAATCCCACCTGGGAACCCCCAAAAAACCCCACCTGGGACCCCCCAAAAATCCCATCTGGGACTCCCAAAATCCTCCTGAGAGCCCCCAGAAAACCCACCTGGGACCCCCCTAAAAATCCAATCTAGGACCCTCCAAAAAAATCCCACCTGGGACCCCCTAAAAATCCAATCTGGGTCCCCCCAAAAATCCCATCTGGGACCCCCTGAAATCATCCTGGGAACCCCCAAAAATCCCACCTGAGAACCCCCCAAAAATCCCATCTGGGACCCCCTAAAATCCCCATCTGGGACCCCCAAAAAAATCCCATTTGAGACCCCCCCAAAATCCTCCTGGGAACCCCCAAAAATCCCACCTGGGAACCCCCAAAAAACTCACCTGGGACCCCCCAAAAAACCCATCTGGGACCCCCAAAATCCTCCTGGGACCTCCCAAAAACCCCACCTGGGACTCCCCAAAAAATCCCACCTGGGAACCTCCAAAAACCCCACCCGGGACCCCCCAAAAAACTCCATCTGGGACCCCCCCAAAAAACTCACTTGGGAACCCCCAAAAATCCCACTTAGGACCCCCAAAATCCTCCTGGGAATCCCCAAAAATCCCACCTGGGAACCCCCAAAAATCCCATCTGGGAACCCCCAGAAACCCCATTTGGGATCCCCCAAAAACCCCACCTGGGAACCTCCAAAAACCCCATCTGGGACCCCCAAAAGACTCCATCTGGGACCCCCCAAAAAATCCCATCTGAGATCCCCCAAAATTCTCCTGGGAACCCTTTAAAACCCCATCTGGGATCCCCCAAAAACCCCACCTGGGACCCCCAAAAAACCCCACCTGGGACCCCTCAAAAAACTCCATCTGGGACCCCCCGAAAAACCCATCTGGGACCCCCCAAAATCCTCCTGGGAACCCCCAAAAAACCCACCTGGGACTCCCCAAAAAACCCCATCTGGGAACCCCCAAAAACCCCACCTGGGATCCCCTAAAAACCCCATTTGGGACCCCCCAAAAAACCCACCTGGGACCCCTAAAATCCTCCTGGGACCCCCCAGAACTCACCTGGGATCCCCCAAATCCCCTCCAGGCCCTTCCAGCCCCCCAAATCCCCCAGGAACCCCCAAGCCCCTCTAAGCCCCCAGAGCCTCTCCAGGCCCCCAAACCCCTCCAAGCCCCCAAGCCCCTCTAAGCCCCCTAAACTCCTTCAGCCCCCAGCCCCTCACAAACTCCCTCCAGCCCCCAAAGCCCCCATTTGTGACCCCCGTGCCTCCCCAGGTCCACAGCCCCCAGCCCCCAAAGCCCCCATTCCTGACCCCCACGTGCTCCCCCAAGCTCCACAGCCCCCTCAGCCCCCTCAGAGCCCCCAGCCCCCCAAAACCCCCATTTGTGACCCCCAAAGCCCCCAACACCCCAAAGCCCCCATTTGTGACCCCCATGCCCCCAGCTCCACAATCCCCTCCAGCCCCCAAAGCCCCATTCCTGACCCCCCGTTGCCCCAGCTCCACAACCCCCAAAGCCCCCAGAGCCCCATTTGTGACCCCAGCCCCCAAAGCCCCCATTCATGACCTCAACCCCCCAAAGCCCCCATTTGTGACCCCCGTGCCCCCATTCGTGACCCCCGTGCCCCCAGCTCCACAGCCCTCCCAAACCCCCATTCGTGACCCCCCGTGCCCCCATTAGCTGACCCCCGTGCCCCCAGCTCCTAGCCCCCAAAGCCCCTAACCCCCCAAAGCCCCCATTCCTGACCCCCATGCCCCCAGCTCCACAACCCCCCAAAGCCCCAAAGCCCTCATTCCTGACCCCCATTTAGCTCCACAACCCCCAAAGCCCCCAGCCCCCAAAACCCCCGTTTGTGACCCCCATGCCCCCAAAGCCCCCAGCCCAGCCCCCAAAGCCCCCATTCGTGACCCCCCCGTGCCCCCAGCTCCACAGCCCTCCCCAAAGCCCCCAACTCCCCCAAAGCCCCCATTTGTGACCCCCCATGCCCCCAGCTCCACAATCCCTCCAGCCCCCAAAGCCCCCATTCCTGACCCCCCGTGCCCCCAGCTCCACAACCCCCAGCCCCCAAAGCCCCCAGAGCCCCATTCCTGACCCCCATTGCCCCCAGCTCCACAACCCCCAAAGCCCCCATTTGTGACCCCCATGCTCCCAAAGTCCCCAGAACCCCTATTTATGACCCCCGTGCCCCCCAGCTCCAACCCCCAGCCCCCAAAGCCCCCAGCCCCCATTTTTGCCCCAGCCCCCCAAAACTCCCCATTGTGACCCCAGTGCCCCCAAAGCCCCCATTTTGACCCCAACCCCCAAAGCCCCCGTTTGTGACCTCCCGTGCCCCCAGCTCCACAAGCCCCTCAGCCCCCAAAGCCCCCAGCCCCCAAAACCCCCCATTTGTGACCCCTCAAGCCCCCCAACCCCCAGAGCCCCCATTCCTGACCCCCGTTGCCCCCAGCCCCCAAAGCCCCAGCTCCCCATTCGTGCCCCCAACCCCAGAGCCCCCGTTTTTGACCCCCAGTGCCCCCAGCCCCAACCCCCCAAAGCCCCCAGCCCCCAAAGCCCCCAATTTGCTGACCCCCGTGCCCCCAGCTCACAGCCCCCCAAAGCCCCCAACTCCCCCAAAGCCCCCATTTGCTGACCCCCGTGCCCCCAGCTCCTAGCGCAGCCAACGCCAACCAGAAGGAGAAATACGAGGCCGACCTGAAAAAGAGATCAAGAAGCTGCAGGTGCTGATTTGGGGGGGCTGGAGGGATTTAGGAAGGGTCTGGGGGGGTCTAGAAGAGGTTTGAGGAGCGTCTAGAGAGGATTTAGGGGAGTCTGGAGACTGTTGAGGGGGTCTAGAGGGGATTTAGGGGGTCTGGGAGCTGATTGTGAGGGGGCTGGGGGGATTTAGGGGGTCTGGGGCTATTTGAGGGCGTCTAGAAGGGATTTAGGGGGTCTGGGGGCTATTTAGGGGGCTAGAGAGGGATTAGGGAAGTCTGGGGCTATTTGAGGGGTCTAGAGGGGATTTAGGGGGTCTGGGGGGGTCTAGAAGAGGATTTAGGGGTCTGGGGGGTCTAGAGGGTTTGAGGGGGTCTAGAAGGGATTTAGGGGTCTGGGGGGCTCTAGAGGAGGTTTGAGGGGTCTAGAGGGGATTTAGGGGAGTCTAGAAGGGCCTGGGGGGCTCTAGAGGGGTTTGAGGGGGTGTCTGGGGGGTCTAGAGGGGTCTGGGGGGGTTTGGGGGTGTCTTGGGGGACCTAAGCGGGTGTGAGAGGAGGTTGGGGGGGTTTAGAGGGGATTTAGGGGGCTCTGGGGGTTTAGAGGAGTTTGGGGGGGGTCTAGAGGGGATTTAGGGGGATCTAGAGGGGTCTGGGGGTCTCTTTGGGGGTCTCTGTGGGTCCGTGGGTGTTTGGGGGTCTCTGGGGGGTCTGTGGGTGTTTGGGGGTCTCTGTGGGGTCTTTGGGTCTCCGTGGGGTCCGTGGGGTGTTTGGGGGTCCATGGGGGCTCTCTGTGGGGTCTGGGAGTCTCTGTGGGTGTTTGGGGGTCTCTGTGGGGTCTCTGTGGGGTCCGTGGGTGCTTGGGGGTCCCTGGGGGGTGCTCTGTGGGTGTTTAGGGGGTCTCTGTGGGGTCTGGGGGTCCCTGGGGGTCCCTGTGGGTGTTTGGGGGTCTCTGTGGGGTCTGGGGGTCCCTGGGGGTCCCTGTGGGTGTTTGGGGGTCTCTGTGGGGTCTGGGGGTCTCTGTGGGTGTTTGGGGGTCTCTGTGGGGTGGGTGAAGCCCCCCCTGAGCCCCGTTTTCCCCGCAGAGGCTGCAGGAGCAGATCAAGGCATGGGGGGGCTGTGGGTGTTTGGGGGTGTCTGTGGGGTCTGGAGGTGTTCTGTGGGGTCTGGGGGTGTTCTGTGGGGGTCTGTGGGTTCTGTGGGGTCCCTGGGGGTGTTTGGGGGTCTCTGTGGGGTCTGTGGGGGGGGTGAAGCCCCCCCTGAGCCCCCTTTTCCCCGCAGAGGCTGCGGGACCAGATCAAGACATGGGGGGCTGTGGGGTCAGTGGGTGTTTGGGGGTGTCACTGTGTTCTGTGGGGTCTGGGGGTCTCTGTGGGTGCCTGTGGGGTCTGTGGGGTCCCTGGGGGTCTCTGTGGGGTCTGTGGGGTGGGTGAAGCCCCCCCTGAGCCCCCCTCCTTGTGCAGAGGCTGCGGGACCAGATCAAGACATGGGGGGCTGTGGGGTCTGGGGGTGTTTTTGGGTGTCTATGGGGTCTGGGGGTCTCTGTGGGGTCCCTGGGGGTCTCTGTGGGGTCTGGGGGTCTCTGTGGGGTGGGTGAAGCCCCCCCTGAGCCCCCCTTTTCCCCGCAGAGGCTGCGGGACCAGATCAAGACATGGGGGGCTGTGGGGTCTGTGGGTGTTTGGGGGTCTCTGTGGGATCTGTGGGTTCTGTGGGGTCTCTGTGGGGTCTGGGGGTCTCTGTGGGGTGGGTGAAGCCCCCCCTGAGCCCCCTTTTCCCCGCAGAGGCTGCGGGACCAGATCAAGACATGGGTGGCCTCCAACGAGATCAAGGACAAGCGGCAGCTCATCGACAACAGGAAGCTCATCGAGACGGTACCGACACAAAAACACCCCAAAACACCTCAAAACACCCCAAAAACACCCAGAAAGCACCCAAAAACACCCAAAACCACACAAAAACACCCCAAAACACCCAAAAACACACAAAAACACCCCACAAACACCTAAAAACCACACAAAACCACCCAAAATCACCCCACAAACACCCAAAAACAACCCAAAAACGCCCCACAAACACCCCACAAACAGCCAAAACCCCACAAACACCCAAAAACACCCCAAAACACTGGGAGACCGCAAGGAACACTGGGGGACCCCCAAAAAAACAGGGACAGAATAAATCAGGGGGCTCAGAAGGAATTTGGGGGGGTGTTTGAGGATTTGGGTCCTTCCCTAAATCCCGAATATTCCAAAATTCCCAGCAAATGGAGCGGTTCAAGGTGGGGGAGCGGGAGATGAAGAATGAATTGGGGGGGCTCAGGATAAATTTGGGGGCTCAGAATGACTCAGGGAGGGTCCCTCAGGATTTGGATCCTTCCCTAAATCCCGAATATTCCCAAATTCCCAGCAAATGGAGCGGTTCAAGGTGGTGGAGCGGGAGATGAAGAATGAACTGGGGGAGGCTCAGGATAAATTTGGGGGGCTCAGGATAAATTTGGGGGAACTCAGGATAAATCAGGGGGTTCAGGATAAATTTGGGGGGGTGTTTGAGGATTTGGATCCTTCCCTAAATCCCAAATATTCCCAAATTCCCAGCAAATGGAGCGGTTCAAGGTGGTGGAGCAGGAGATGAAGAATAAATTTGGGGAGGCTCAGCATAAATTTGGGGGAACTCAGGATAAATTTGGGGGCTCAGAACGAATCAGGGAGGGTCCCTCAGGATTTGGATCCTTCCCTAAATCCCCAAATTCCCAAAATTCTCAGCAAATGGAGCGGTTCAAGGTGGGGGAGAGGGAGATGAAGATTAAATTGAGGGGCTCAGGATAAATTTGGGGAACTCAGGATAAATTTGGGGGGTTCAGGATAAATCAGGGGGTTCAGGATGACTCAGGGAGGGTCCCTCAGGATTTGGGTCCTTCCCTAAATCCCAAAAATTCCGGAATTCCAGCAAATGGAGCGGTTCAAGGTGGGGGAGAGGGAGATGAAGAATGAATTGGGGGAGCTCAGGATAAATTTGGGGGCTCAGAATGACTCAGGGGGGGTCTCTCAGGATTTGGATCCTTCCCTAAATCCCAAATATCCCAAAATTCCCAGCAAATGGAGCGGTTCAAGGTGGGGGAGCGGGAGACCAGGAATGAACTGGGGGGGCTCAGGATAAATTTGGGGGAACTCAGGATAAATTTGGGTGTTCAGGATAAATTTGGAGGGGGTGTTTGAGGATTTGGATCCTTCCCTAAATCCCAAATATCCCAAAATTCTCAGCAAATGGAGCGGTTCAAGGTGGAGGAGAGGGAGATGAAGAATGAATTGGGGGGGCTCAGGGTAAATTTGGGGAACTCAGGATAAATTTGGGGAGTTCAGAATAAATTGGGGGGGCTCAGAATGACTCAGGGAGGGTCCCTCAGGATTTGGGTCCTTCCCTAAATCCCGAATATTCCAAATTCCCAGCAAATGGAGCGGTTCAAGGTGGTGGAGCGGGAGATGAAGAATGAACTGGGGGGCTCAGGATAAATTGGGGGGCTCAGAATAAATTTGGGGGCTCAGGATAAATTGGGGGCTCAGAATGACTCAGGGAGGGTCCCTCAGGATTTGGATCCTTCCCTAAATCCCAAAATTCCCAAATTCTCAGCAAATGGAGCGGTTCAAGGTGGTGGAGAGGGAGATGAAGAATGAACTGGGGGGGCTCAGGATAAATTTGGGGAACTCAGGATAGATCAGGGGGCTCAGGATAAATTTGGGGGGGGTGTTTAAGGATTTGGATCCTTCCCTAAATCCCAAAAATCCCCAAATTCGCAGCAAATGGAGCGGTTCAAGGTGGTGGAGCGGGAGACCAGGAATGAACTGGGGTGGCTTAGAATAAATTTGGGGAACTCAGGATAAATTTGGGGGCTCAGAAGGAATTTGGGGGGGTCCCTCAGGATTTGGATCCTTCCCTAAATCCCGAATATTCCCAAATTCCCAGCAAATGGAGCGGTTCAAGGTGGTGGAGCGGGAGATGAAGAATGAATTGGGGGGCTCAGGATAAATTGAGGGAACTCAGGATAAATTTGGGGAACTCAGGATAGATCAGGGGGCTCAGAAGGAATTTGGGGGGGGTGTTTAAGGATTTGGATCCTTCCCTAAATCCCAAAAATTCCCAAAATTCCCAGCAAATGGAGCGGTTCAAGGTGGGGGAGAGGGAGACCAGGAATGAACTGGGGGGGCTCCGGATAAATTTGGGGAACTCAGGATAAATTTGGGGAGTTCAGGATAAATTTGGGGGCTCAGAATGACTCAGGAGGGGTTCCTCAGGATTTGGATCCTTCCCTAAATCCCGAATATTCTGGAATTCCCAGCAAATGGAGCGGTTCAAGGTGGTGGAGCGGGAGATGAAGAATGAACTGGGGGAGCTCAGGATAAATTTGGGGGGAACTCAGAATAAATTTGGGGGGATGTTTGAGGATTTGGATCCTTCCCTAAATCCCGAATATTCCAAAATTCCCAGCAAATGGAGCGGTTCAAGGTGGTGGAGAGGGAGATGAAGAATGAATTGGGGGGGCTCAGGATAAATTTGGGGGCTCAGGATAAATTTGGGGGCTCAGGATAAATCAGGGGGCTCAGGATGACTCAGGGAGGGTCCCTCAGGATTTGGATCCTTCCCTAAATCCCAAAATTCCCAAATTCGCAGCAAATGGAGCAGTTCAAGGTGGTGGAGCGGGAGATGAAGAATGAACTGGGGGGCTCAGGATAAATTTGGGGGGTTCAGAGTAAATCAGGGGGTTCAGGGTAAATCAGGGAGGGTCCCTCAGGATTTGGGTCCTTTCCTAAATCCCAAATATTCCCAAAATTCGCAGCAAATGGAGCGGTTCAAGGTGGGGGAGAGGGAGATGAAGAATGAATTGGGGGCTCAGGATAAATTTGGGGGCTCAGAAGGAATTTGGGGGGCTCAGGATAATCAGGAGAAGAATGAAGCTGGGGGGTTCAGGATAAATCAGGGGGCTCAGAATGACTCAGGGAGGGTCTCTGAGGATTTGGATCCTTCCCTAAATCCCGAATATTCCCAAATTCCCAGCAAATGGAGCGGTTCAAGGTGGGGGAGAGGGAGATGAAGAATGAACTGGGGGTGGCTTAGAATAAATTTGGGGAACTCAGGATAAATTTGGGGAGCTCAGGATAAATTTGGGGACTCAGAACAAATCAGGGAGGGTCTCTGAGGATTTGGATCCTTCCCTAAATCCCGAATATTCCAAAATTCCCAGCAAATGGAGCGGTTCAAGGTGGGGAGAGGAGATGAAGAAATGAATTGGGGGGCTCAGGATAAATTTGGGGCTCAGGATAAATCAGGGGTTCAGGATAAATCTGGGGGCCTTAGAATGACTCTAGGAGGGTCTCTGAGGATTTGGGTCCTTCCTAAATCCCGAATATTCCCAAATTCCCAGCAAATGGAGTGGTTCAAGGTGGGGGAGAGGGAGATGAAGAATGAACTGGGGGCTCAGGATAAATTGGGGGACTCAGGATAAATTTGGGGGTTCAGAATAAATTGGTCGGTTCCTAAATCCGAATATTCGAATTCCAGCAAATGGAGCGGTTCAAGGTGGGGGAGCGGGAGATGAAGAATAAATTGGGGGGGCTCAGGATAAATTTGGGGGCTCAGAAGGAATTTGGGGGCTCAGAATGACTCAGGGAGGGTCTCTGAGGATTTGGGTCCTTCCCTAAATCCCGAATATTCCGGAATTCCCAGCAAATGGAGCGGTTCAAGGTGGGGGAGCGGGAGATGAAGAATAAATTGGGGAGGTTCAGGATAAATTTGGGGGGGCTCAGAATAAATTTGGGGGTTCAGGATAAATCAGGGAGGGTCTCTGAGGATTTGGGTCCTTCCCTAAATCCCGAATATTCCCAAATTCCCAGCAAATGGAGCGGTTCAAGGTGGTGGAGCGGGAGATGAAGAATGAATTTGGGGGGCTCAGGGTAAATCAGGGGGCTCAGGATAAATTTGGGGAGTTCAGAATAAATTTGGGGGTTCAGGATGACTCAGGGAGGGTCTCTGAGGATTTGGATCCTTCCCTAAATCCCAAAAATCCCCAAATTCCCAGCAAATGGAGCGTTTCAAGGTGGTGGAGCGGGAGACCAAGACCAAGGCGTACAGCAAGGAGGGGCTGGGGCTGGCCCAGAAGGTGGACCCGGCGCAGAAGGAGAAGGAGGAGGTCGGCCAGTGGCTCACGGTGAGCTTTTGGGGGCAATTCCGGCAATTTCGGCCAAATCCGGAGCTGCCCCCGCTCGTTTTGTCATTTACCACCCAAAAAGCCTCTTTTTCACCCCAAAATGCGGTGTTTTAACCCCCCAGAAGGTGGGGCTGGCCGGAAAAAAGGGCTTTTTTCACCTCAAGAGAATTCTTTTTTTACCCAAATTTCTTTTTTTTCCTCCCAAAAATGTAAAGATCACGATTTTTGTTCAAATCTCCCATTTTTCCCATCCTAAAATAGGGTAAAAATTCAAGGTTTTACCCAAATTTCCCGTTTTTTGTCTCCCAGAAAACATAAAATCCGAATTTTTGACCAATTCTCCCATTTTTTCTCTCCCACCCAAAAATATTTCCAAGAATCCCCGTTTTGGCATTTACCACCCAAAAAATCTCCTTTTTCACCCCAAAATGTGGTGCTTTGACCCCCCAGAAGGTGGAGCTGGCCGGAAAAAATGGCTTTTTTCACCTCAAGAAAATTCTTTTTTGCCCAAATTCCTTTTTTTTCCTCCCAAAAATATAAAAATCACGATTTTTGTTCAAATCTCCTATTTTTTCTGTCTTAAAATAGCATAAAAACCCCAGGTTTTACCCAAACTTCCCATTTTTTGTCTCCCAGAAAACGTAAAATTCCAATTTTTGACCAATTTTCCCATTTTTTTTCTCCCACCCAAAAATATTTCCAAAAATCCCTCTCTTTTATCATTTACCACCCAAAAAGCCTCTTTTTCACCCCAAAATGTGGTGGTTTAACCCCCCAGAAGGTGGGGCTGGCTGGAAAAAATGGCTTTTTTCACCTCAAGAAAATTCTTTTTTGCCCAAATTTTTTCCTTTCCAAATCCCGTTTTTTTACCCCAAATCCCATTTTTTCCCTCCCCAACCCCTTTTTTTTGCCCCAAATCCCGTTTTTTTTGCCCAATGCCTCCATTTCCCCTTCAAAAACTCCCTTATTTCCCCCAAAATTGACATTTTTTCCTCCCCAAACCCCATTTTTCCCTCCCCAAACCCCATTTTTCCCTCCTCAAACCCCCTTTTATTCTCCCTCAAACCCCATTTTTTCCTCCCCAAACCCCATTTTTTTTTCTCCAAACCCCTTTTTTTACCCCAAACCCCATTTTATTGCCCCAACCCCCATGTTTTTATCCCAAACCCCATTTTTCCCTCCCCAAACCCCATTTTATTGCCCCAACCCCCATGTTTTTATCCCAAACCCCATTTTTCCCTCCCCAAACCCCATTTTTTTTACCCCAAACCCCATTTTTCCCTCCCCAAATCCCATTTTTCCCTCCCCAAACCCCATTTTTTCCTCCCCAAACCCCATTTTCCCTCCCCAAACCCCATTTTTTCCTCCCCAACCCCCATTTTTTCCTCCTCAAATCCCATTTTTTTACCCCAACCCCCCCATTTCCCCTTCAAAAACTCCCTTATTTCCCCCAAAATTGACATTTTTCCCTCCCCAAACCCCATTTTCCCTCCCCAAACCCCATTTTTTCCCCTCAAACCCCATTTTTCCTCCCCAAACCCCATTTTCCCTCCCCAAACCTCATTTTTCCCTCCCAAACCCCTTTTTTCCCCAAACCCCATTTTTACCCAAACCCCATTTTTCCTCCCCAAACCCCATTTTTGCCCCAAACCCCATTTTTACCCCAAACCCCATTTTTCCTCCTCAAACCCCATTTTTCCTCCCCAACCCCCTTTTTTTTTACCCCCAAACCCCATTTTTTTACCCCAAACCCCCTTTTTCCCTCCCCAACCCCCTTTTTTTTCCCCTCAAACCCCATTTTTCCCTCCCCAACCCCCATTTTTCCCTCCCCAAACCCCTTTTTTTCTTCCCCAAACCCCATTTTTTTTGCCCCAAACCCCATTCTTTTACCCCAAACCCCATTTTTTTTACCCAAACCCCGTTGTTTTTTGTTCCCCTCCCCTCCCCCGCTCGAGGCTGGGGTCGGTGGCGCTGCCTGAGCCGATTTTGGGTGTTTTTGCCCCAGAACACCATCGACACCCTGAACATGCAGGTGGATCAGTTCGAGAGCGAGGTGGAGTCGCTGTCCGTGCAGACCCGCAAGAAGAAGGGGGACAAGGATGTGAGTCACCCCCAAAACACACCAAAATCACCCTAAATTACCCTAAATCACCCTAAAATCACCCCAAAATCACCCTAAATCACCCCAAGTCACCCCAAAATCACCACAAAACACCACAAATCAACCTGAATTCACCCCAAAATAACCCCAAAACATCCCTAAATCACCCCAAAACACACCAAAATCACCCCCAAACACTCCAGAATCACCCTAAATCACCCCAAAATCAACCCTGAGCACCACAAAACACACCAAAATCACCCCAAAATCACCCTGAAATCACCCCAAAATACCCCAAAACATCCTGAAATCACCCTGAATCACCCCAAAACACCCCAAAATGATTCCAAAATGCCTCCAAATCACCCCAAAACACCCTGAAATCACACCAAAACACCCCAAAATCACCCCAAAACATCCCAAAACAGCCCTAAATCACCCCAAAACATCTCAAAATCACCCCAAAACCACTCCAAAATCACCCCAAATCAACCTGAAATCACCCCTGAGCACCCCAAAACACACCAAAATCATCCCAAAACACCTCAAAACATCCCAAAATCACCCTAAATCACCCCAAAATCCCCCTAAATCACTCCAAAATCACCCTAAAACATCCCAAAATCACCCCAAATCACTCCAAAATCACCCCAAATCACCCCAAAACACCCCAAATCACCCCAGAATCAACCCTGAGCACCCCAAAATCACCCCAAAACACCACAAAATCATCCTAAATCACCCCAAAATCACCCTCAAACACTCCAAAATCACCCTAAAACATCCCAAAATCACTCCAAAATCAACGCTGAGCACCCCAAATCATTCCAAAACACACCAAAATCACCCCGAATCACCCCAAAATCACCCTAAATCACCCCTAAATTGCCCCAAAATCACCCCAAAACACACCAAAATCACCCTAAATCACCTCAAAATGCCTCCAAAACACCTCAAATCACCCTAAATCACCCCAAAACGCCCCAAAATGCCTCCAAATCACCCCAAAACGCCCCAAAATGCCTCCAAATCACCTCAAAACAGCCCACCCTGAAGCGTCAGGTGGAGCGGCACCGCTTCCCTCTGCGTGTGCTGGGGGTGGATCCCGGGGGGATCAGGGGGTGTCTGACCCCGTTTTTGTCCATTTTTTACCCCAATTTTCCCATTTTTTCTCATTTTTTCCCGTTTTTGGGTGTTTTTCCCCCAGAAACAGGACAGGATCGAGGCCCTGAAGCGGCAGGTGGAGCGGCACCGCTTCCCTCTGCGTGTGCTGGGGGTGGATCCCGGGGGGATCAGGGGGTGTCTGACCCCGTTTTTGCTCAGTTATTGACATTTTTGGCCGGTTTTTCCCATTTTTTTGCCGTTTTTTCTCATTTTTTCCCAATTTCCCATGTTTTTTCCCCAGAAGCAGGACCGTATCGAGGCCCTGAAGCGGCAGGTGGAGCGGCACCGCTTCCCTCTGCGTGTGCTGGGGGTGGATCCCAGGGGGATCCGGGGGTGTCTGACCCCGTTTTTGCCCATTTATTGATATTTTTGGCTGGTTTTTGCCCATTTTTGTTCATTTTTTCCCAATTTCCCATGTTTTTACCCCAGAAACAGGACAGAATTGAAGCTCTGAAGCGGCAGGTGGAGCGGCACCGCTTCCCTCTGCGTGTGCTGGGGGTGGATCCCGGGGGGATCAGGGGGTGTCTGACCCCGTTTTTGCCCATTTATTGACATTTTTGGCTGGTTTTTGCCCATTTTTTCTCATTTTTTCCCATTTTTGGGTGTTTTTTCCCCAGAAGCAGGACAGAATCGAGGCTCTGAAGCGTCAGGTGGAGCGGCACCGCTTCCACGTGCAGATGCTGGGGGTGGATCCCAGGGGGATCAGGGGGTGTCTGACCCCGTTTTTGCTCAGTTATTGACATTTTTGGCTGGTTTTTGCCCATTTTTTCTCATTTTTGCCCATTTTTGTCCATTTTTCCCCCAGAAACAGGATAGAATTGAAGCTCTGAAGCGCCAGGTGGAGCGGCACCGCTTCCCTCTGCGTGTGCTGGGGGTGGATCCCGGGGGGATCAGGGGGTGTCTGACCCCGTTTTTGCCCATTTATTGATATTTTTACGCCATTTTTGGCTGGTTTTTCCCATTTTTTGGCTGTTTTTTCTCATTTTTTCCCGTTTTTGGGTGTTTTTACCCCAGAAACAGGACAGAATCGAGGCCCTGAAGCGGCAGGTGGAGCGGCACCGCTTCCCTCTGCGTGTGCTGGGGTGGATCCCGAGGGATCAGGGGTGTCTGACCCGTTTTTGTCCATTTTACCCATTTTTCCCATTTTTTGCCGTTTTCTCATTTTCCCGTTTTTGGGTGTTTTTACCCCAGAAACAGGACAGAATCGAGGCCCTGAAGCGGCAGGTGGAGCGGCACCGCTTCCCTCTGCGTGTGCTGGGGGTGGATCCCGGGGGGATCAGGGGGTGTCTGACCCCGTTTTTGCCCATTTATTGACATTTTTGGCTGGTTTTTGCTCAGTTTTGTTAATTTTTTCCCATTTTTGTGTGTTTTCCCCAAAGCAAGGACCCGAATGCCGAGGCTCTGAGCGGCAGGTGGAGCGGCACCGCTTCCACGTGCGGATGCTGGAGACGCTGCTGCGAATGCTGGACAACGACTCCATCCCCGTGGACCCCGTGCGGAAGCTGAAGGATGATGTGGAATATTACGTGGATTCCTGCCCAGAAGCCGACTTCGAGGAGAAGCGAGTTCCTTATGATGACCTGGACCTCGATGACATCCGTAGGGACAGAAAAATGGGGTGAAAAATGGAAATTGGGAAAAACGGGGAAAAATGGGGAAAAGCAGAGGAAAAATGAGGAGTTTGGAGAAGAAAAATGAGGAATTGAGGAAATGGGGATTTAGGGAAAATGAGGAGAAATTGGGGGTTTCTGGAAGGAGAACGAGTTCCTCTACGACGACCTCGACCTCGATGACATCCGTAGGGACACCAAAATGGGGTGAAAAACGGGGAAATTGGGAAAAACGGGGGAAAAAATGGCAAAAAAATGGGGGGAAATTGAGGGAAAATTGAGGGGAAATGAGGGTTTTGGAGGAGAACGAGTTCCTTTATGATGACCTTGACCTCGATGACATCCGTAGGGACAGAGAAATGGGGTGAAAAACGGGGAAATTGGGAAAAATGGGGAAAAATGGAAAAAATGGGGGGAAAATTGAGGGGAAATGGGGGTTTCTGGAGGAGAACGAGTTCCTTTATGACGACCTCGACCTCGATGACATCCGTAGGGACACAGAAATGGGGCGAAAAACGGGGAAATTGGGAAAAATGGGGGAAAAATGGGGGAAAAAATGGAAAAAGATAGGGGAAAATGGGGAAAAAATGGGGATTTGGAAGAGGGGAAAATGGGGGAAAATTGAGGGGAAATGAGGGTTTTGGAGGAGAACGAGTTCCTTTATGATGACCTCGACCTCGATGACATCCGTAGGGACAGAGAAATGGGGAGAAAAACGGGGAAATTGGGAAAAACGGGGAAAAAATGGGGATTTATTGGGAAAAATGGGGGAAAAATGGGGAAAAACAGGAAAAATGGAGGAAAAATTGGGGATTTATTGGGAAAAATGGGGATTTGGGAGGGGAAAATGGGGAAAATTGAGGGGAAATGGGGATTTAGGGGGGAAAATGAGGAAAATTGGGGGTTTCTGGAGGAGAACGAGTTCCTCTACGACGACCTCAACCTCGATGACATCCGTAGGGACACCGAAATGGGGCGAAAAACGGGGAAATTGGGAAAACGGGAAAACATGGGAAAAACGGGGAAAAAATGGGAAAAAATGGGGGAAAAATGGGGAAATTGGGGGGAAATTGAGGGGAAATGGGGGTTTCTGGAGGAGAACGAGTTCCTTTATGATGACCTCGACCTCGATGACATCCGTAGGGACACAGAAATGGGGCGAAAAACGGGGAAATTGGGAAAAATGGGGGAAAATGGCGAAAAATGGCGAAAAAATGGGGGAAAATGGGGAAAATTGGGGAGTTTGGAGAGGGGAAATGGGGGTTTCTGGAGGAGAACGAGTTCCTTTATGATGACCTCGACCTCGATGACATCCGTAGGGACACGGAAATGGGGTGAAAAACGGGGAAATTGGGAAAAATGGGGAAAAACAGGGAAAAAATGGAAAAAGATAGGGGAAAATGGGGAAAAAATGGGGAAAATGAGG